CCACACCCCGTGTCCGTGCTTGCTTGAGGAGGCAACCACATATGTGCCCCATCTCCAGGAAGGCTCCCAGTCCTCCCACCTTCACACCTTTGAATGCTCTCCCCATCCGTGGCATTTACTGCTTTTCCTGGGCAAAAGGAAGCTCTGGATCAAAACCCGCAAAACCAAATGGGATGAGGGGAACTATTTCTCATTCTTTCACGAATGTTAATTTTTAATCTGATTATCCTGCCACATGTGCTTAGGACCCAAAACACAAATTATTGAGCCTTCCTCCCAACTCCCCCCCAAAAACAAGAAGGAGAAACATACACAGATGTTCCTTGACTTACCACGGGGATGTGTCCCGATAAACACATTGTAAGTTGAAAATACCATAAATTGAAAAGGCATTTAATACAGCCAAATTCCTAAACATTATACCTTAGCCTAGCCTACCTTAAATGTGCTCAGAACACTTACATTAGCCTACATTTGAGCAAAATCATCTAACACAAAGCCTAGTTTATAATAAAGTGTTGAATATCTTGTGTAATTCATTGAATCCTGTAGTGACGGTGAATGAATGGTTGTATGGGTACCTGAAGTACAGTTTTTGCTGAACGAGTATCACTTTACAACCATTGTAAAGCTGAAAAATTTTAAGTCAAATCATCATAAGTCAGGAATACTCTGCATTCCCTACTTTATAGATGAATAGTTTAAGCCTCTGAAAATTGATATTTTCTTATCTCTCTTCTTTCTTTTTTTCGAGACAAGTTCTCACTCTGTCTCCCAGGCTGGAATACAGTGGCATGATCACATAACTCATTGTACCCTTGAGTTCCTGGGCTCAATTGATCCTCCCACCTTAGTCTCCCAAGCAGCTGGGCACGTGCCACCACACCCAACTAATTTTTAAATTTTTGGAGAGATGAGGTCTCGCTATGTTGCCCCCACTGGCCTCAAGCCATCCTCCTGCCTCAGCCTCCCAAAGTGCTGGGGCTACAGGCGTGAGCCACTGCACCTGGTCCCATTTCTTGGTGGGTTTATTTTTACCAACTTTATGGTTTTATTTGCTATTGTTACTATATATTTTTTTTTATTTCAGCATATTATGGGGTACAAATGTTTAGGTTACATATATTGCCTTTGCCCCACCTGAGTCAGAGCTTCAAGCGTGTCCATCCCCCAGACGGTGCACACTGCACCCATTAGGTGTGAATATAACCATCCCCTCTTCCCCCGCACCTGCCCGACACCTGATGAATGTTATTACTAAATGTGCACATAAGTGTTGATCAGTTAATACCAATTTGATGGTGAGTACATGTGGTGCTTGTTTTTCCACTCTTGTGATACTTCACTCAGTAGAATAGGTTCCAGCTCTATCCAAGATAATACAAGAGGTGCTAGATCACCATTGTTTTTTGTGGCTGAGTAGAACTCCATGGTGTACATATACCACATTTTACTAATCCACTCATGTATTAATGGGCACGTGGGTTGTTTCCACATCTTTGCAATTGTGAATTGTGCTGCAATAAACATTCGGAGTGCAGATGTCTTTTTTATACAATGTCTTGTTTTCCTTCGGGTAGATGCCCAGTAATGGGATTCCTAGATCAAATGGTAGTTCTACTTTTAGCTCTTTGAGGTATCTCCATATTGCTTTCCACAGAGTGCCAGGCACTCTACTTGTATTAATTCATGTAATCCAGGCTGGGCGCGGTGGCTCACACCTGTAATCCTAGCACTCTGGGAGGCCGAGGCGGGTGGATTGTTTTAGCATAAGAGTTCGAGACCAGCCTGAGCAAGAGTGTAGACCCCGTCTCTACTAAAAATACAAAGAAATTCTCTAGACAACTAAAAATATATAGAAAAAATTAGCTGGGCATGGTGGCGCATGCCTGTAGTCCCAGCTACTCGGGAGGCTGAGACAGAAGGATCACTTGAGCCCAGGAGTTTGAGGTTGCTGTGAGCTAGGCTGATCCCATGGCACTCTAGCCTGGCAACAGAGCGAGACTCTGTCTCAAAAAAAAAAAAAAAAAAATTCATGTAATCCTTATTAACCCTATTCTACAAATACATTTATTCTCCCCAATTTACAAATAAGAACATTGAGGCTCATAGAGGTCAAAATGATTTGCCAGAGATCATGCAGCCAATTCATGGGCTAATGAATGCAGGAAGTCAGATTCCACAGACTATACTATTAACCATGAACGTATTGCTGAATTTTAACAGCTAATTCTTATATTGTATTTTGCATCTGTACTTATAAATTCATATAAATTGTCTGAGTTCCCTTCTTTTGTTCTGTCCTTATCCATTCTGATTTACATGTTTACCTAATCATTCTAATTACTCTTTTGGATACAAGCCATTCCTATGAGGGAGGGATCATCTCTTTGAAGATTTAGTAAAATTCACCTTAAAACCATTTTTCGATGGGGGGATGGTTAATAATTTTCATTTCTATATCTATTTTATTATTAATGATATATCAGTCATTTCAACACTTCTTAGGCCCACGTAAGTACTTCTGAACTTTTTTCTAATGTTATCTATTTTATCTAGTTTTCAAATATATTGCTATAAAATCAATTACACATAGTGTAATTTTATAATGTCCATACCATCGATATTAGGGTAGTATTTCCTTTTCCTTTCTGATTTGTTTATTTCCTATACTTTTTCTACTAATCATCGATTTTGTTCGGTCAGCTAATGCAACACTAAATGTAATAAATCTCCATCTCAGGTGTATACAACAACAAACATTTTTATTTCTTGCTCTGGGGCTTCCAGTTTGCTGAGCTTTGGCTGATTCGGCTGAGCCGGGCTGGACTCCGCTGTGCTTGGCTGGACTGTAGGCTTTCCGATGAGTTAACGTCTGTTCCATATCATTTATTATCCTGATGTTAGTCACTACCAGGAACGCATTCTTCCTATGATTGGGAAAGAAACACAAAGGCCACGTGAAACCTGTAAGCGCATTGAAAGCTGCTGCTCCCTCTGTATCTGCTCACGTCACATGGCCCAGCCAAACACCAAAGGGACTGAAGTATTTACTCCACGTACTCCAGAGGGAGCCTCTGGAAAGTACCATGGCAAAGAGCGTGGCTATCTAACTTTCAAACAAGGAGGAAGCAAACAATTGGAAACAATCCAAACGACCATAGTCATAGTTTCCAAATTTATGTTTTTTGCAAAGAACTAGTTTTTGATTTTATTGTTAGCTCTGAAGTTACTTCCTTAGTTTGTTTATTTAATTTTTATCTATTTCTTAATTATACCTTCCTTTTAAATGGGTATCAATTTATCAGTCATATAGAGCCTACGGTCCTTGGAGGCCTATTTCTGAGACTTGTTTCTGTCAACTCTCACTCTGCTTGTTTCCTGCTATGTTTGATGATTGTCACAAGGTGACCTCGGATTCTCCTGATCTCCATCCGAGAAAATCCTGCGGTGCCTGGGCGAAGGATAGGGTTCTGCATTGTTTTCATGTCTCCGTAGTGCACTATGTTGTGACGCACTGGAATATTCTAAACAATTTTTCATCTTGGCTTAAACGGCAAAATCCAATAATAATGATAATAATAATAATAATAATAATAGCAGCATAAATTCAAACCCCAGATCTGTGAAAGGATAGATCTGTGGGTGGACGTCCTTAAAGGAGAGTCTTTTTCCCCACCAGAATCAAAGCTTTCTTATTCCTTTGCTCACAGGTGTCTGTCTCTCCCACCTGCATCACCACCACCAAACCATACTTTCTCTAAGTCTGTGGCACGTTTAGGGTCTTGGTTTTATGTAAATTTCTCAGTTTTGAATTCCCACCTTTCTGGGAGGTCTGCTTATGTCCTGTACGGATTGAATGTCCCTTGTCTTCTGGGCCTGTGGGCCCTTCAGAGCTGTGTCCATGGCACCAGGAAACAAGCCCTGAGAGGGATCTTCGTTACAGTGGGGGCCCCTGTTGGTGCCTGGCAGGCTCCCTGTGACGGGCATGGTGACATGAGTATACAGGGCTGATGACCCTTGAGAAGCCAAAATGCCAGTCACAAGACAGAGTCAAAGGGAAGCGGCCCAGCTCCGTGCCCCACCAGGGAAAAAGCAAACCTCTCGAGTTGTTGAGATGAAGTGTTTCAAAGAGTGAGTGCTAGTTTGGGGAAAGGCAGGCATCAAAGGTCACATCAGGGACTTGGGCCACTTAATCAGGCTCTGGCGATAAGAGCTGGGCACTCCTGGAAGCCCAGGCCTGGAGGAGCCACAGACTGGTCTGGCATCTGTTCAAGGTCTCTGCTTTTTGCCTCACTCTCGCACCGGATCCCACCCGTGTGCCCAGCCCAGGGTTGCACCCTGGGGACAAGGAAGTCTTGAATACAGCTGCTGCTCTAGGAAAGGAAAATCACTGGTAAAGTGGGCACAGAGGTTAGACCCGGACAGCGAGATGTCAAGATGCTGGCTCTGAGGACGCGGGGCTGTTTGTGTCTATCCATTTGTTCTATCAGTCTCTACTGAGCATCAGCTGTTTCCGGGCTCTCTTCTAGGTGTGGGAACAAGACCCTGTTCTTGTGATGTTCTCATTCCACCGGGATGGGGAGGTAAATCATTATGCAACTAAATAAACAGAACAATTTCACATAGAGATAAACAATATGCAGAACATTAGAACAGAGAATTATAACTTACTGACAGACTGGCTACTTAAAATAAAATGGTTAGGAAAACCATTTCTCCAGAGATAATATTTAAGCTGATATCCGAATGGCAACAAATAACTACACAAAGACAGAAAAGTCCGGACAGAGGGAGCCACTGGTACAAATGCCCACATTCGGCTTTGAATGTAAGTCATAAATATTCCTCCCCCTTGCGCCTAGCCCTGTGACGTGCCCAGAGAAGACATTTGACAAATGCCCTGAATGAGAAAGGAGGAATGAGGTGACGCAGTGTTGTAGGACTTTCCTTTCTCCACCCCAGCCCTGCAGTAAACGGAGCACAAACGGAGCTGGTTGGAACAACTGATACAAAGGCGTGTGCTTGTGCGTGTGCGCGCGCTCGTGTTTGTCCGGTGGAATGTCTAGGCGTGTTTCTTCTGAAAGTAGATATCTAGAGAAAACCATTCTGAGAAGCTGAGATGTTAGAGGCTCAGAGGTGCTGAGCCGTGGAGAGGATGCCTGGGAGGGGGCAGGCGCAGGGGGAGTTTGGGGCACTGCAGTAGAGAGTGGCCTGGCACTGTGCTGGAGACCCCGCCAGCAGCCCTGGAGAGCTTCCCAGTACATGGCAGTTCCAAGGGTGGTTGTTTATTAATCTGGGGTTGAAGGCCAGGCCAAGTGCTGTCCCTGGTCACCAGGCTAACTGGGCCTGACGTTACCAAGACATCTGCCAGCTCGCCTGCCACTGCCTCCAAGCTCTGCGGAAGCCCTAGTAAGTCATTTCTGGAGGAAAGGGGCGGGGTTCTGGGCAGGGCTGGCCTCTTGACTTGATCCTGGTGAGTTCCAGGCAGGGGCTTTAATGGGGTCGTCAGGCCCACCTGGGGCCTCTGTCTCTATCGGACCTGGGGCATCTGTGTCCTTCCTGGATCTACTTGACCATCAGCAAACTAAAGGGCGGTCTTTTCCGTGGAGAAAAATAGAAGTGGGGTGTGTGTGCCAGCAACAGGTACAGGCCCTGACCGTGGCCTCCAGCACCACCAGGGGAGGTTTTAAAAAAAAAAAAGGCACACAGAGCCCCCACTGGGCCTGCCTTTCCTGGTGGTTTTGCAGGTTACCTTGGCAACATGTATATTGCTTCCTTTTGCTTGTATTGTACAGTCAGTACTATAAAATTTGTTTTGAGTTTTGTAACTTTGTAGCATTTTAGATAACATTGTGTTTGTACTTGTGTAGAGTGAAGGAATTGTGTTAAATAAACCTAGGATTAGAGTGCAAAAAAAAAAAAAAGGCAAAAAAGACAGAAAGAGAAAAAATGAAGAAGGATATGATCTCGGAAGTTCCCTTCCAACTGAGCACCTCTCACTGAGTCCTGGAGGAAGGGAAGGGTTGAGGGAGCTGACAGCCTGGGCAGACGTGGCACTTACACAGCAAGGCCCAAGGACATTGGGGTAAGAGGCTGGAGCGGAGCAGAGGGAGAGCCCCATGGGGGCTGGGCTGCCAGGATGTCCTGGATGAAGGGCCAGCTGGGCACAGGCTGGATGGGCATCTGACAGCTGGGTGGGGGCCTGCAGCTGGTGGAGCTGGGAGGCATCTGGCAGCACGCGAGGATACTAGCAGAAGAAGGGACATGAGCTGGTTCCCTGCCAGGCCCAGGGTGAGCAGAAATTTCACAAGCCTGGGTTCTACCTGGCAGAAATGGCCTCTCAATAGAAAACCTCAAACCAAAGGAAGTCTCTTCTGGACAGGATCAATAAACAAAGAAGGTTCCACTTTGAGAGTCACATTCCTGCCTTTGGGCACTCTGGGTCCTGAGCCCCCAGCAAGTGCCTGTCACAAAATAGAGACTTTATACAAGTCTCTACAGGTTGCTGGGGAAACAGCTGCAGTTCTGAGGGTGTCTGGGGCCCCAGCGTATAAAACAGGGATTTTTATATGAAATGAGAGAGTGGCTATCATAAACCAGGTCTAGCCAAGAAATAGACCTTGTGGGACCTCAGGTTACCTGCTGCGATCTGAGTCTAGCCCCAGGGCCCATAGAAAAGGGAAGAAAAGGGAAACCAAGGCACCCTTGACCCTCAAGAAAAGGAGGTGAGAAATCCAGGCTTTGGCCAAAGCTTACACAGGCAACAGACTGTTTGCCTGTGTATTAGGCCACCAGAAACAGGGCTAGTTTGTAATTTTTGGGGTAGGGGATGCCTAACCATGAAGCCTTGTGCTCACAGGTGCTCTGGGACCCCAGGGAGAATGGGCCCCTATTATTCTTGTACCCACCTTCATTTTAGCACGGATCTAAGGCTAACTTTTTTTTAACTTCTCTCTCCCTAGTAGCCTGGGAGTAACTCAGAGCCAAGGGTCGTGATGTTCCCCTCTGTGTCTGCTGTCCCGAACACAGGGTCCGGCACAGCACAGCTGCTGGCAAATGTTGACTAAACAAGAGAAGATGGAATTATTCTCCTTGACTTTCTCCACTCCCAGGTAAGGACTATGCTCCTGTTTCCATCACTCCTCGTCCTCCTTCTGCGTGTGGTGATAACATCCTGCTCAGATGCAAAAACCTGCGAGGATGCCCAGAAGGCCTGCTCCCTGATCGCCTGTGGCATCCCCGTCACCAACGGCACCCCAGGCAGAGATGGACGAGACGGACCCAAGGGAGAAAAGGGAGAGCCAGGTACAGGACACGCTGCTCTGTCTTCCCAAATCTTTACCTCCAGCAGGAGACTGTTCCATATGAGGGCTCCAGCACAGAGACTTGGGGAGGTCACCTTTCAGTATGATGGATGCTGGTCCACTCAGAATAATACCTGTACAATGTCACTGCCTCCAAAGCAAAAATGCTCTCTGACTCCCCAGGAGCCCACATTTCCACCCAGGAATTGGTGACGTGTGGTTGTCCCTGCAGAGGGGGTGTCCTGCCTGCTTCGGGAGCTGGCCCTCAGGACAGGCCTTCCCCTGGGATGCTGGAAATTCTTTCTTCTTTGGGTCACCACTAGCTCTCTGGCTGTTTCCTGGGGTCGATGTGAATCGAGTATTGAGCTTTTGGAAAAAGAAAATGAGTGACAGCCATGGGTCATGTTTCCTTTTTCTTCCAACAGGTCAAGGGCTCAGAGGTTTGCAGGGCCCTCCTGGGAAGATGGGGCCTCCGGGACAGAGAGGAACGACTGGGCCTCCAGGAGCAAAAGGCTCAAAAGGAGACTATGGAGATAATTCGAGTAATGGGCACATCTTGGCATGGTCTTGCCTGAGGGGATCCAGGGCCCTGGGGACTGGAGGGCCAGGAGGGAGGTGCCCCTTCTGCTGCCTCCCTGGAAGATGCTAACTCTGCTTCCCGGCCCAGCGCCCTCCACCCTCTCAGCCTTAGTCGCGGCCTGAGGGGATTCCCATGGGTGCCCAGTACAGACTTCCCAACCCTGCAGGGCCACTGCCTCGTCAGCCCTTTACAGGAGAGGGGCTCTAGCTTTTGTTCAGCCGACCCTGTCCAGTGTTGGCTCCAGGCTGCGAGGGAGGAAACGAGTCCTTTCGGGTGTTGGGTTTATGTCTATTGTCACAAGAGTGGCATGAAAATGGTCTGCCTCGTAGGACGTCTGGATAACGGGGAACATCATAGCAACCTAGTTCAGTGTAAAATAAAGCAATAAGAACGGTAAGAACAAAAGAAAAATGACAACCCTCTTATTAACATTGGTCTGCCCGTCGGCCAAAATAGTAAAAGTATTAAAAATTTTATCCGGTCTGATAAGCAAAAAAGTATTACAAAGAAAATTTTTCAAAAGAGAGAGAAATGAATTTTTTCTTATAAATTATTATAACTGCGATATTTAAACAGTATGTGAAGACAAGGTCTAGAACTGTAGTTACAAATTGTCAAGGGATACCAAGATATGTTTGCAGAGGCAGGAATATAGGGTTTTTTAATCCTTTTATTTCTTTTTGCTTTCTTATTTTTCTGGAATAAGCATACTTTTTAGTAAGCCAATTATTTTTTAATTTTAATTTTTTGCCAAATGCTCTGCTCTCCGATTTAAGGTCTTCTCCGTTAACTTCCTTCTGCCTGTTGCCTTGCAGTTGCCGAGGCTAAGCTGGCCAGCTTAGGGAGAGAAGTGAGCAGCCTGAGAGCAGAACTGGACCACTTCAAAAAGTGTAAGCCGCTTCTCTGTCCCCAACGTGTCCTTGGCTCTCCTTTCTTCCGAGTGCCCTAGGTTCCAGGGAGGGCGGAAGAGAACTAACATCACCCACACTTATTACACCTGCCAGGGCCTGTGCTGGGCGGGCACTTTCTCGGAACATGGTTCCTTCAATCGTCTCTCCAACCCCAGTCGTGGTTATTATACTAGTTTATTAGACTAGTTTCATTCGCGGGGGCAGGAAGTGCAGGTCACTCAGTTGACATCACAGCGCTGGGAAGCCGCGGAGGAAGGACGGGATGGAGGTCTGTCGTCTCCAGAGTCTTTGCTTCTTCCCCTACACCCCCTGTTCTCAGATGGCTGTTCCTGCCTCCTCACCTTGGTGCCCAAGCGAGACTGTGAGGCCCAAGCGTGTCCCCTGTCTCCACCTCTGCTGGCGCAGTTTCTAACATGTTTTCCTCAAGGGTGGCACATCCCGGGAGAGCGCAGGCTGCCTGCCGCGGGCTGTTTCCCACTGCTGGCTCTGCGACTGAGGCCGCCCCCTCCCCGGGCTCTGGCCTCGGGTGGGTGGGCATGGGCTGGTTTCAGAGTGCGGAGTTCCCAGAGAAGGGCATTTCTGACTACTGTCCTGGGCGGGCTCCAAACCCGGTCAGCCGCACCCTCCCTTTGTGATTGCAGTGCAAGCCTTCTCCTTGGGCAAAAAGCATGGTAAGAAGCTCTACGTGACCAACGGGGAAAAGATGCCTTTCTCCAAAGTGAAGGCTCTGTGTGCTGAGCTCCGGGCCACTGTGGCTGCCCCCAGGAATGCTGAGGAGAATAAGGCCATCCAGGATGTGGCCAAAGACACTGCTGCCTTCCTGGGCATCACCGATGAGGCCACCGAAGGCCAGTTCGTGTACTTGACGGGAGAGAGGCTGACCTACAGCAACTGGAAGAAGGATGAACCTAATGACTTCGGGTCAGGGGAGGACTGTGTGAGTCTCCTCAAGGAGGGGACCTGGAACGACATCTCCTGCAAATCCTCCTTGCTGGCCGTCTGTGAGTTTCCTGCCTAAAGAGGCGTGTGCTCCGCCCCTCCCTGGCTCCCTGCTGAACTCTCTGCAGCTTTGAAAGAGAATTCAGTGCTGGTTTTCCCTGCCTGGTGTTGAGTCCTTCCTTCGTGGGGTTGGGAAGAAAATGAAGGGGATATATTCGATTGTGGGGTGAGGAAGTGAGAAGAGGCTGACTGTGGGGCACGAGGGTTCTGGTCCAGCCCAGGGCAAAGGACACCCTCCGTCCTGCCAGGAGCACAGCACTGAGCCCGAGTCCACCATGGAGATGGCCAAGTCTAACCTCTCCTTTCACGGTGAGGACACTGCAGGCCCCCAGAGGAACCCAGGAAGGGCCACACCTGTGTCAGAGTAGGCAGTGAATCTCAGCCACTGAGACAACTAATTCCTTTTGTCCAAAAATTGCCATTACTTGATGCCAAACTCTCACCCTGAGCTCCTGCCCACGGCCAGCCCAGCCTCTCTAGGACACAGGTGTTGTTTCTAGTAGTCCATGAACTGCCCCACCCACCCTGTCCCTGCCTGACTGTGATACCTGGCAATATCCTACTAGATAACAGTTATTGGTCCTAGGAATCCCCTCACCCTGCCCAGGTAGCTGGCCCCCCACCCCCTAACATCAGTCACTAGGGTGACCTCGAGGGCAAAGAACAGCCTTTCCTCCTGCATAATTTTAGGAGGCTGGTTCAATATTGTGGTGTATGTCAGGGGCGTGCGAGGAAGCAAATGGTCCTGCAGGGTATGTCCTTCTCCAAGGGCCTCCCGGGTCTCGTCATCCACTGCTACCCAGCACCCCCCCCAACTGTGACATCCTCATCCTGCTATAGGTCATGGGCACATTATCAGTACAGACAAGAGGAAAACCTCCCCAATAGTGAGCTTCACACCCTATAGGTCAAATTATGAGGCTTCAGACAGTCAGCAAATGAAATGTCCTTTCTGAGCAGGGTTCTGACCTGGTCTCAGCCCACAGCTCTGCTCACGACCATGGATGTTTTTCAGGCGTCTCAAGGGGAGTGGATCTGAGATTACACAGCAGCAAACCAGGGGAAGAGGGTGAATGCCACTCCAGCTGTATGTCATTCACACAATGAGATTGGAACATATTTTGTGAATGGGCCAAGTGTCACTTTAACTTAGTGAAAAGCTTTGGTTAACCTTAGTTTTCTGTTTTATTTCTATTTGTATCTGAACTACCAGGAAAAGCACCTCATAGTTAATAAGTACTCGATGAATGTTTGTTGAAGGGATACGTTGAAAAATTACAAGTGAGCTGGGCATGGCGGCTCACACCTATAATCCTAGCACTTTGGGAAGCCCAGGTGGGAGGATTGCTTGAGATCAGAATTTGAAGACCAGCCTGAGCAACATAGCAAGACCCCATCACTACAAAAAATACAAAAATTAGCTAGACGGGGTGGTGCATACCTGTAGTCCCAGCTACTTGGAGGTTGAGGCAGGAGGATGGCTTGAACCAAGGAGTTTGAGGATGCTGTGAGCTATGATCATGCCACTGCTCTCATGCCTGGGCAACAAAGCGATACCCTATCTCAAAAAAAAAAAAAGAAAAACACAAAAAATAAACAAAGGAAAAAACCAAAAAAACTCAAAATTGCAAGTGGACAAATGGGTTGGGTCCTGGGAAGCGAGTGCTGGGCAGAGCTCTCTCCCAGATGCGCTCCTTCTGCAGGACTATCAGGACAGGGCTGGGATGTGCTGAAGACGTGGGGGCCCATGAGGTGAGGGTGGCTGGACCTGTATCCTTGGCCTCTAGTGCACCTAGAGTGTCACATCGCTGAATGTTCAATCCTTCGAGGCTCTTCTTCGAGCGCTGCACTCGGGGCAAGGAGAAGAGCATTTTTGCGATGAGGAGCAAAGCAGCTCGCTACTTCCAACTCAGTTCCAGACTGCTTGCTAAGGGAATAGGAAACTGCTTAAAATTTCGAAGCACAGATGAAGCCTGGGTTATGGCAATAGAAAAAGGAAAGACCAGAAACTTTTTAGAAGGGAGAAAGATACACGTGTAGGGTGTCCCAGAACAAGAGAATTCCTGTAACCAAGCACAACAGTGACACCCAAACTCTCTCACGACCGAGACAAAAATGATAAAACTAACAGTCACTATTATATAATTCTTTCTATTTTGTGGTAAGAGGGTTGTCATGGTCAACACTGAGATGAGTGGGCCCTTTTTCACACTGTGAGAAGGACAGTAAAATTGCAGAAGATACAGTTACCGGGCTCCACACGGATCGTTTCCTGGCATGTAGCCTTCACCCCACCCCACTCCCCGCACTTTGTTTTTTTGTTTTGTTTTGCTTTTGTTTTGAGACAGAGTCTCACTCTCTTGCCTGGGCTAGAGTGCCGTGGCGTCAGCCTAGCTCACAGCAACCTCAAACTCCTGGGCTTAAGCGATCCTCCTGCCTCATCCTCCTAGGTAGCTGGGACTACAGGCACGCGCCATCACGCCTGGCTAATTTTTTCTATTTTTTTTCAGTTATTTGGCCAATTTCTTTCTTTCTATTTTTAGTAGAGATGGGGTCTCGCTCTTGCTCAGGCTGGTCTTGAACTCCTGAGCTCAAACAATCCTCCCGCCTTAGCCTCCAGAGGGCTAGGATTACAGGCATGAACCACCACGCCTGGCCAGGTCCCCGCACTTGGAAGCTTCTGGTTGACTCTCTCCTTTCTCGGCCACTTTACAGGGCAGGAGGCTTCTCCGTGGGCTCCCGGGTAGGTGGGGCTTGTTCTCTCCCCATACAGCGCCCGGCCATCTCTCCAGAGCTCCTCTCTCTAAACATAGCCCTTGCCACCATCTTCCCGCAGTCCAGAGTTGAGACAGACTACCTCCCTGTGTTCATTTCCCAATGTTATCAGCAAGCAATGGGTGCCCGGTGCAAGTTTGCTTGGGAGAAGGTGAGCTGAACTGAAGATACAGGATTCTCGTGAGGGTCTAAAGATAGATAGAAACTGTAGTTCATCCAGGCCTCCCAAGACCTGGAACAAGAGGGAAATTATGGATTCAAGGTGACCCTCCAAACACTCAGTCTCTCTCTCTCTCTCTCTCTCTCTCTCTCTCTCTCTCAAAGGCTGAGGGCAGGCAGTTTCCTTTACTAAGGGGCATGTAATGATTGCCATCTCTTGCACAGTGGACTCAATGAGGACAGGCATTTCAAAGACAGACCTTATGGGCCACAGGCAGCACATTCCCCTTGAGACTTTAGGAATGGGGACAAGTGTGAGCAGCCTCTTGGGTCCTGTTGTTGGTCCTAATGGAAAAGGTGTCTCTGCCATTCATGCCCCAGGCTGGTTTTTAGACCAGGGAACTGGCAGACATCTCTGAGCTGCAGTCTCCCTTTGCTGCCTCTTGCATGGAGTAGGTACCTGAAGGTCAAAGCATTCAGGCACCTCAAAGCATTCCAGGAAAGGAAGCTGCTGTTCAGAACTCTGTGCAGCCTGGGCTCAGGCTCTGGGGCCATGCCCAGGGGGAGAGGAAGCGCTGGGTCTCTGTGCACCATGTTAGGGCTAGAGAAGAGATGGTTTGGTGGGTGGGAGGTTCAGATTTGGGGAACAGGAGATTGCGGTTTGCGGTTAGCTCCCTGACTAATGTACTGAGTGACATGTCAGCTTCCTGGGCCTTAGTTTTCCTGTCTGTAAATTGGTCTCCAAAGACTTCTCTCTTCTAAAGTTGGATGAATCAATGGTTATGCATGGATCCAGACTGCAGGGCCCAATTCAGGAGCTAAGATGCAGGATCTGAGAACTGTTTTCAGTTTTAGTTGCCTGGCAATTCTGTCCAAACTAATTATGGGTTAAACACTTATCAGCTATTACTGAAGTCTGTAGAAAGCCAGTTGGGGTAAGTTAGAGTGGCAAGTGTTGCTTGCCTTGAGATGGGGACTTTGGATTTAAGTTATGCCTATAAGTCAATGTTCTTCTGCCAAAGAATAGACATAGCCAATGTGATTGTGATATGCTGCCTGTGTCAGAATGAAAACAGCTACCAACGCTTGTGACAGTCAAGGCTGCAGCTCCTTCCTGTTTGGGTCTAGATCCTGGAATTGTAGGGCCTGTTCCTGCAGGGCAATCTTTCTTTGAAGCACTATAGCTCTGCTGCTGTCGCCTTAGCCAAGCCGGAGCCAGAGGATGGGGACTTAGGGTCCCAGCTGAGGACCTAGCATTCACATCCTCAAGCTTCCTTCTCTGTGGCTGGCAGAGATGGACCAGTGCCAGGGGTCATATGCCCCAGACTCACCCGCTTGGGATATGTGTGTCACGGCAGTGCCTCTGACCTGGAAGGCTGTTTGCTTATTATTGTGTAACTCATCAGTGCTTTGAAGCCTGCCAGGAATCATGGATTCTGTGGGTTTTTTCATTAACCAGGAAGGGATTGGATGTCATCAGGGAGCCTAGGCTGGAGATGCCGGGAAGTGGATTTTGTAAAGTGATGTTGTCCTGGTAACCCCGAGTGGCTGATGGGCTGCTGGGAAGAGGGAGGTGCTCAGGGCAGGGGACCCGTCTGGGAAGGGGTGCTGTCAACACTGGCAGCCATCTGTGTGGGGATGGGACAGTGTCTACAATTGTGAACCAGTGGTTTGTCCATCAAAAACAGGTGTCATGCTTAAAAGAAGTGGGGTGCAAGTAGCCATTTATTAACCGAACAAATACCGCGGGTGAGGCTAGCCACTGCCAATCCATGGTCCAGCCTGCTGTTCTGGCTTGTGCTTGTGCCACCTTATGCATCTCTTCAGGGTAGTAACCAGCAAAAGTGACTGGGATGCTTGACAAAATCATCTTGGCCCCAAGAGGAGTGTGGGTACTTAGTCGTGGACAAAAGGTCCACAAGTGGCCTTAAGCTGTGTTCTAGGACCCCAGAGGCTCAACAGAGATTGTTTGGACACTAATAAGACCCTCTTCCACTGCCAGGTCTTGGGTCATATGGCACCATTGTACCCTCACCTGAGTCCTCATCTGACCATGGACTCTAAGGTTGCTCCAACCCCAGACACCATTACAACACGCTGTTTTATTTTCTTCTTAGCAATCAGAAATTTGATATCCTCATGGCCCTCTGCTTGTTTAAAGT